AAAAAAAAAAGAAAAAAAGGAGTGTCATTTATTTCTTTTTACATATATATGTGTACTTAGACCCATATATAATTATAATCATATGTTTTGATTATTTCTTCTTATTTTTCTACTTTGTTTATCTTCTTTGGTAGGTAAATGTAAAAGATATGTGTGAAAATGATCCATCGCCTCCTGCTTTGGATAATGTGTGGGAAATTTCACAGCATCTCTCAGAGAGCGACGGTTTACCATTTCTTCTGCAGATTGAAGATCTTCAAATGTCTATTGATTACCCCGCCTCACATCACAATTGTTGTTGGACACGTGCGATGTTAGACCCTATTTGGGAAACTTTTCAAAAAAATTGTATAAATCTAATGGAAGAAGAAAAAGAAGAGATAAAAACGAATACATCATTACCTGATTCTTCTTCTTCTTCTTGTACATCACTTTTGTCTAAGTGTACGATTCTTACTGAACTTTCAGAGTCTATTCAAGTCTTATTTAAACGACAGCGGCAAGAACGACCACCATCTAGTAGTGTGAATCGAATACGTTATATTTATCGTCCACCTTCTGTTATTCGTATTGGAAAAGGTATTACTGGGAAACTTACAATAAAATTTTCTCTTCATCTATGTGATAATTCTGGAAAGGAATCTACTAAATTGTTTCCCTCATTTATTGCTGTTGAACCTGTTGAATCTATAGCCTCATTTGTGACTATTTCTGTACTGGAAAAAAGGCGCCGTTCATCCACTTGTGCATTAGCACTTTTACCTTTACAAAATATTAATAATGAGAATAAGGTAGCAACGTACAGTTCATTTGATGCGGAATTACATTTTAATACCATGCCAACTACTTTATTATCATCCTCATCATCTTCTTCTTCTTCAGCAGCAGCAGCAGCAGCATCCTTATACAAGGAACCTTGGGCTTTTCGTATATATGCGGCCTTTTACAATTCTTCACAGGAACAGATTTTATTAGATGAGCCTTTCATTCATTTATGTGAATGGAGGCCTAACGTTACCCAAGAAGAACGTTTTGCTGTTATGAATCCACAGATGGATCCTGATGTGGCCTTCTCTACAGAGAAGAGACATCGTGCCACTATGCAGCGACATTTGAAGTCCGCTATTGAGCGTATGGATGGTGTAATGACAGAAGTAAGTACTTCATCAACTCCACCAATACGATCTACATTACGTCATGTTGCTACTTTACAAACATTACAGTCTATTTCTATGGAAGTATGTATGCAATCAGGGAATAGTACACTGGCATCTGTAATGCCTAGAGGTATTAAATGGCCTTTACAACTGATTATTGGAGATTCATCTCTTAAGAGTTGGCGACCTTCTCCTATTCCTGGATCATCATCATTAGATAGGCTTGCATGTGAGATGAAGAAATTGGAAGAACATCTTAGTGAATATGGTAATGATGGGGATCATGATAGAATTAAGAAGAAGAAGAAATGTGAGGATACATCAATATGATTCTTACTATATACATGCTACTGTTTTTTTTTTTTTTTTT